TGTGGTGGTTTTTAGTTGTCGGTACAAGTCAGTTTCAATTCTTCAGAAATTCAAAGTGTGCATGATATCAGCTTAGAATTAGCTATCTTGATACACCCTGCTGTGACGTATTGAATAATTTTGTTTTTGGCTATTAGAACAATTAACTGACCCAAAATTGGCCGAAATTATTCATTTTCCACATACAATATATAAAAGATGGGATCGATATTTTCGTTTTTCTTTGTTTGTAATTAAGCACAAAGCTACACAATGGGCTATCTGTGTTCTGCCCACCACGGGTTTTTGCAGGTTATCAATCACAGCATATTGCAGCTTGTGTATTTTAACTTAATAAATCGTAGACCTTTTTCCCACATTGCAATGCCAGACTTTAATAATTAATCACATATGTACACGTATTTAATTAATGTACTTGTATCTCTCTACCCATCCTTCTAAAATGATGTCATTTTTAACACCCCTCACTTTTTTGAAAGTTAACAAATTGCATAATGGGTAGTTTAATAAGATACATTGCTAATTTACGTACGCACGGGAAATATTGTCTGAAGTTATATAAAAGTGTTCTTAGAACTTTATATTTTATAGTTTAAGTGGATGAGAAACATAGTTCATAATGACGAGTTGGTTTGTGAGCGTGCGTGATTTATCTATAGCATAGTTAAACTGCTATTTCGAAAGAACATCTCAAGATGTGTAAGCTATTTCTGTCTACATACTTACATATGTACATGTTCACATACTAATATTTATCGTTTTACTGCTGTGCCATTCGTGGGTTGTATGAAATTTCATCCAATCACTGTCTCATAAATTACCGAATGTAAGAAGGTTGAATTGTTTTTTTAATTAAGTTGATATTTATTTGTTAATATTTTAAGGGTTATATGGATATTTATTTTGTAATTATACTGAAGTAAACTGTGAACTTTGAAGAAATCAGTATTCACAAGTTTGTTTGTTTTTTAAACTGATTTATCGGAGGAAACCAATCTAATCACAGGTTTTTATAGACCATACTGATTTATTAGAAGAAACTAATCTAATCACAAGTTTTTATCAATTAGATCGCACTGATTCATTGGAAGAAACCAATCTAATCACAGGTTTCTATAAACCACACTTATCCATCAGAAGGAACAAATTTAATCACAGGTTTCTATAGATCACATTGATTCATCGGAAGAAACCTATCTAATCACAGGTTTCTGTAGATCACATTGATTCATCGGAAGAAATCAATCTAATCACATTTTATGTAAGCCACACTGATCCATCGGAAAAAACCCAATCTAATCATAGGTTTATGTAAACCACACAGATCCACCGGAAGAAACCATTCTAATCACAGGTTTCTATAAACCACACTGATCCATCGGAAGAAACCAGTCTAATCACAAGTTTCTATAAATTACTGTTCAAAAATGTTTGTGATTTTGTTTATTGTTTTCATTTAAAACCATTACTTTTCCTAATAAGCCTCCTCACACACGATTTAGGCGTGGTCTTGTGCCCGATTAGGCTTACTGGTCTGTGAATCCGAGTATCTAATGGTTTCGTGTCTCGTTGCCGCAGAATCGGGATCAGCACTTTGGGGTCATGGGTGCGTAAGTCACGCTAAAATCTTATTGTTTGTTTGTTTCGAATTTCGCGCAAAGCTACACGAGGGATATCTGCGCTAGCCGTCCCTAATTTAGCAGTGTAAGACTAGAGGGAAGGCAGCTAGTCATGACCACCCACCGCCAACTCTTGGGCTACCCTTTTACCAACGCCCTCACGGCTGAAAGGGCGGGCATGTTTGGTGGACCGGGGATTCGAACCCGCAGATTGGGAGTCGAGCTCCCTAATCACCTGACCATGCCGGGCCCTAAAATCGTATCAAGTGAAGGGTAGCTAGCCTAAGAGTTGACGGCGGATGCTGCTGTTGGATAGAGCTGCCTTCCCTCTAGAGTCTAGTCTATTAGCTCAAAATTAGAGACCGATAGTGCGGATAGTCCTTGTACAACTTTTCGCGAATATCCGAAACAAGCAAATGAACACACACACACACCCTCCATCTATATAGTCAAGGCATCAGTTTGCACACCTAATTAGAAGATTGCAACCGTGCGTTAAATGTGTAAATAAGAATTGTTTAAGAGTATAAGACTACGATCATCAATTATGGATGTTTCCTACCAGTTCTGGTTTTGTTTTGAAAATCTTATTTTTATATTTTTGTTACACGTGTATGTATTGAAATATGGTCAGATACTATAGATCTCAAGTTATTATTTTCGTTGTGTACACTGTTGACAACTGTGTAATTGTTTGTGTTGCTTCTTTCTTACCAGATTTATAGGTGTTAATAACTCGTGAAAGGAAGTTAAATATTGCTGAAATTCAATTTCTGGTGTACTTTATCCATTTCATTAGACAATTTCTGTTTGCTTGAATATGAATATGTGGAATATATTAATTTATTTTTTACTAACAGTTTATTTCATGTTCGTTGATATTAATTTTGATCTACTATAATCTTTTCCGGATTTTCTTTTTGGCGAATAGAATTATTTCGTGACTTGCAAATACTTTTTTTTCTTAAGGACCCATCCACAGAGTAACGCATACATTATTCGTTTATATGCACTCATTTCAATTTGTCTAGTTTTATCTATATTTTATTCACTATGATAAATAAAACTGTTTATTAGCGTACGAAGCTACGCCGAGCTGGGAGTCCAGAAACATTTCTAAAGATGAACTGAAATTCAAAAATGAGGAAGGTATACCAGAAAAAGAACCTAGAGACAGGTAAGAATGCCCTAGAGACAGGTAAAAGTGTCCTAGAGACAGGTAAGAGTGCCCTGGAGACAGGTAAAAGTGCCCTAGAGACAGGTAAGAGTGCCCTAGAGACAGGTAAGAGTACCCTAGAGACAGGTAAAAGTGTCCTAGAGACAGGTAAGAGTGCGGAATGTAAGTCTAAGTTGGAAATAAATATACCAGTTCTCAATGGAGCACAGTTAAAGTGAAAAGTTTTGAAAAATATTAATTTATAATGACTTAAAAATAAGAAAAACGTGTCAATTAACGGAATTGTAGTGGAAACATTGTGTAAGTTTAGTAATTGTTATAATAATAAAATGATAATATACAAGTTTTGTAAACAAAAAAAATATATTTCATCTGTAGACTGACAGAAAAAATAACGGTTATACAATGATAGATTATGCTCCAAAAATGATAACATTTTAACGGGTCTGGCATGTATTGGTGGTTATGGCACTCGACTCGTAATCTTAGGAGCGCGGATTCGAATCCCTTCCTCGTATATGCTCGACGTGGGGGCGTTATAACGTGATCGTCAATCCCACTATTCGTTGGAAAAGAGTAGCCCAAGAGTTGGCGGTGGGTGACATTGACTATCTGATTTCATTCTAATCTGTCACTTCAAAATTATGGACGGCTAGCTCTGGTGTAGGTCGCGCGAACTTCTAAACAATCACACACACACAAACAAACAAAAAACCACATTGAATGTCATAAAAGAAACTAATGAGAACAATTTACTTAACTCATCTGATAAAGATTGGTCTCGTGCGTTCCTTATAGTCTAGACACCAGATCAGCAGTTCTGAAACTGTGATAGACGAGATGATACCAGACGGTATGCAAGAGGTTTCCAACCACTTATTTAAAAAAGTGTGTGGTAAAGTACTAGTCTTATATATTTTGACTCCAATACCGAAAAATAATAATAGTTAATTTTTACCTCATTAGTTTTACTATCTTATATTGTTTGTTAATTTTATTGTTTAGTTCGCGTGTCAGGCGTATGTGGGACAAGTGGTGGTACACTTTATATCCATCCTGGAAGAAAGTGGTAGACAGAGGTCGAAAATTTGGGAATCGCTGGTCTAGATCATGTGAGACCGGGCGTGGCTTAGCTTTTATGATACAGTACTGTGGATTGGAAGGTGCAAGTTTCGAACCCGGGATATGTCGTTGAACATGCTTCGCACTTTTTAACTGTGGGTGCGTTATAAAAGTGACAGTCAAGCTTGCTACTCATATTAGAGTAATTGAGTAGGCGGTGGGTGCTGCTGACTGGTTGCCATCATTCTAGTAAACGGTTTAAAATTAGGGACGACTTTTCGTGAACTTTGAAGTTTTTTGCATGCCATGCCATTTAGCCCAGGTGTTCCATAAGCTGCTGTTCAGGTTGAAAATACCAAATATCTTGATCATGTGACTTAAACAACCTTCAGTTTTTATATCTAATAACAGTCTGTCACGAGGATTTGATGGTCACTACTACATTTAACATACATTTTATTGAATTTTACTGTGCACTTTTTATATAGTTGTCTGTTTATAAAATATGCTTATGGTAGGGAATATAACATGAAGGAAAAATCAGTCACAGTATTTTATTTCTTTGTTTGAAGTTAAACACAAAGCTAGACGATGGGCTATGTGTGCTTCGCCCACCACGGGTATCGAAACGGGTATCGGTTTCTAGCGTTGTAAGTCCGCAGGCATACCGCTGTACCACTGGGGGGGGGGGGCAGTCACAGTAACTAAACAGCGTAAAATGCACATAAAATAAGAACTGAATGAACAAAAACTGTTAGAAATTGTGTGATATAAGTTTTCATTTTATATGTATGCGTTTATTTACACTAATATGTTTGGCACAGTGGTATGTCTGCTAACTTACAACGCTAGAAACCGGGTTTCGATATCCGTGATGGGCACAGCACGGATAGCTCTTTGTGTAGCTATGTGCTTAACTTCAAACAAAACAAACACTAATGTGTTAATACCGTCGTTCATTAGTACGAAATATTCAGGGTGTTGTTTTATCCTTTGAGAAATTATTGTATTAATTAATAGCTTTTTAGTTGTACTCGTGGTATTGGACATAGTGCCATGATGATATTTAAACTGGGGAATGATTTAAAGTGCTTATATTTTACTGGGCCTAGATTTTACTGATTCTGAAATAAATGTCAATAATATTAAAGCTAAAAGACAATGATATCAACAGCTGAAACTACGAGAGCTTCCATATGGAGCCCGAGCTTTTCTACACGCGCCTGCAGTTCAATCGATTCAGTGAAAATGCTACTGCGGCTGTGCAGTGAAGCTTCTTGTCGAGAAGAAAAAGTATACTGGCACCGGGGTCTTTACGGGCATAACGTTTCTGAACAATTATAATTGATCGTTAGCTGTGGAAACATTTTTACTTATTCAAACAATATTCTGCTTTTGAAGACTGGAAATTTAAAATTCTTGTTGTTTTAACGCCGTTGATAGTAATTCAGCGTCCGTAAAGAACTGCATTGACCCTACCCTCTACCAATCGATCTGTTTTCCAAGTGCAACGATGTACGCTATGATGCTATCACCTTGTGAGATGATTAAGGGCAAAGAAGACGTTGGCGGCAGCCAGAGGTTCGGGTTTAATTATGAATAACGCTTGAGTTATAACGTTCTAGTATACCGTATTTAAGGATATGTTATATTAATTACGTTTTACGTAATTTCTGTAGTATTGGTTTAGTTTTAGGACCGTCTCATGTCAAAGGGAATATTGCTGACGATCATCAGCATGTTGTTATTGTGTATATCAGCATCTTATTAATCAATTGTTGCGTGAAATACCTATTTACACTCAAAGATTTAATCGAAAAAATATTACAGATATCCAGTGGTTAACTTGAACGAAGATGCTCAGATAAAGTTATTGGTTATTTCAGTATATTCGTCAAAGAGCTCGTTGTTCAATTCAGTATAGTGACTTCATTTGCACAAAGACTAAGAAAGAAACAGACTTTGATGTCACTTAGAATCCTTGCTGCTTTCTGTGAAGTCACTGTAAAGTGAATGAAGTTAATTTATCATTGAAGTAAATAGTGAAGTGTATGATTTTCTCACAAAAGAGGAACAAAAAATCTTGCAGTAATATAATCATAGTATCACAATGACAAGCTTAGCAGATAAAATTCCTTTGGCCTCAATGGAAGAGTTGAATGTAGGGGGTTCTCCTATACCCCCTCATCGCACTTTAAATCATAATCCACCTGATAACTCTTCAGCTTATCAACAAATACCTAATGATGAAGTCAAGGGAAATGCTGTTTGTAGTTCTGAATTACCTGTACTGTCAACTCGAGATCAGGACCCAAGAGATCAGGGCCCACCAGATAGGTAAGTAGCAAAAGATGGGTATTATTTTTGCAGCATTATTTCTTTTAGGATCTTAGGCCAGTTCAGTTAGCAACATTTAGAAGTCTAAACCTTCTTGATCATGCTATGTTTTGTACATTAACATTTGGTCACATGGGCTAAGTGACATATATAATATTAATTAGATTCCTATTGCAAATATGATAGTTTATTGAATTATTTGTATATTTTTATATAGAATATTCTCTTACTGAGGTGTAATGGAATTTGATTAAAAAGAAATACAAACATCATCAACAAATTTCTGTTATAGTGATCACTATATAAATTTTACTGATATTTTTTTAAAATTAGATTAATAATTTTTGAAGAAAGTATATTGTTTCTTATGAAGTTTATTTTCAGATGTTAATGAGAAGGAGAAATAGTTTTAAACACAAATAATATATTTTAGAATAGATCTTATCATGGATTATATACTTATATACAAAACTAAAACCTAGTAACTGAGCTAACAACAGTTGCCACAACCATCCGTACACTGTATACATATTAGAATTGAAATGAAGTTCTTCAACTTCCTAGTTTTGAATGTTAGTCTTGATTTATTCTTATGTTATATTGTTTTATTGTACAATAAGACTTCCATGTTAATGTGCTGTATGTACCTGAACTTGTGTACAAGTTATGCAGTTACTGTTTTTAAAATGTGTTTCTGCACGAAAGCACTGAATTGTTAAGGGGTGACTGTTATATATTGCAGCAGTAAGATATTCTTATGATGGACTCGTAGGTAAAGGTTTATGTAAACATTTTTTTACTCATAGCATTTATTCACTTATACTATTTTTGGATAATGATATTATTCTCTCTTTTCAGGCTAAAACTGGTTTACATAATTCTGATGTTACATGGAATTGGCACACTTATGCCATGGAACATGTTCATTACTGCAAATGATGTAAGTCAAGCAGTGTTCAAGAGTTTTTGTGTTATGCATGAAAAAGATCTATTTGTATATGTTTATTTTTTCTTCTATCCAAGAATTAAAGAGAGTTTTTGAAAATGTCAGCAAGAACAATTGTAGAACACAGTTTAGTTTAGCTTGTTATTTTAACATTCTTTATGGCAATAGTTTCTTATTGGTTCCCATGGGTACTTAAAAATTATACTATTTGCCTTTACAGTTAAAAGCTTTAGTCACAGATATTGCCTTTGATCTGCATTAATTAAATAAAGATGATAGAATTATTCCTATGTTCCAGCATTTTACAACATTTGTTGTAGTATTCTTTTAACATTATGATAAGTGAAGACTGAGCAACTATCTACATGGCTATTCTTAGAGGTTGGTAGTTTAAAAATTTACTTAAAGAAAGTGGAATATAAATAATGAAAATAATTAAAATTTTGCTTTCATAAGCTATAAAAGTATAACTTATAGAATAGATCTTTAAAAAATAGCTTGAAGTATATTAAAATACTGCATGCAGACTATCATTTTTCTTTGTTGATTCTTTAATGCATTTGGCAAATATTTGTCATTTAAGAATGTTTAGTTGTTCTTTGATGATTTTAAAATTACAAACAAATTACACATTTAATATTTGGAAATCTGATAAAAATGTTGATTTATTTCAGTACTTTGTGAAATTTAAGTTAAATGTAAGTGAAGTTGATACAAGAGCCAAAGAATATCAAGACAACTTCCTGTCTTACCTTGGATTAGCATCACAACTTCCAAATGTTGTCTTTAATGGAATTAATCTGTTTGCCCAGATTGGGTAAGTACAGGTTAAGACATTGTTTTCTCTCAATTTCTCATAAAGGGTATATTAAAGGATATTTTGATTTAGATACATACCTGTTTCACTTAACATAAAATCAAAATTATTAAATAAAACCAGTCAAGATGTAATGACTTATGTGCATGTTCTTTCAAACTAGTGTACAGAAAGTTTTGTCTAATCATATAAAAATAAGCCTGAAAACTACCTTTACATCAAAAATTAAATTAAATTTCTTAATCTCCTAGTTTTCATTAGTTTTCCTTTCTGAATTGGTAAAAGCTACTAGAGATGCCTGAAAGAAAAAAGCCAATCAATAACATTTATAGAGAAATAATTAATAAAAAAAAAAATTAGATATGCACAAAGTTATACTTAGGCAACAGTTCAAATATCTAACCACAGTGTGAAAAACAAATTTTATAAGTATTTTCAACAAATATTGGGAACAAATATGATGTATAATTAGTGTGTATAAATATCTGATTTATGTATTTCTATTTCTTATCACACACAGTAGTTTGAAATGTTGCTGGAAACAAATAGTGTTTTAATGTTTTTTGGTATTAGAAAGAAAGTTAAGTATAGCAATTGATGTTTGCAGAATACGTGTAATAGACAATGAACAAATTACAATTATATTAAAGTGTACTTCACTTCTTTAGCACTGGTTATTGTAAAATCCTAAAAAGTATACTATAAATGTTTTTAGTTTTAAACAGCTTAAAAAAAGGACTGATCTGGAGTTTAAGGTAATTTTTACTTTTTTGAATGGTTTTATGCTGTAATATTAAAAGTATTAGTTCATAATGGATAGCAAAACCCATACAATGACCAACTATTGGCTGAAATCATAAAATTAAGCATATCTAGTGTTATCCTTACAATAAAGACTACTGACTATTCAAAAAACCTAAAACAATTCATTAAAATTTAATATTTCACAATACTAACACTTTCTTAGAGCAAGAGCAGACATATAAATAAAATACATAAAATAATGTTTCAAGCAAGTAATTAAAAAAAGTATATTCTGGTTTTACAGAATGTATTACATAACATAATGAATTTATACTTCTTTATGTAAAGTGTTGAGTTTGTTCTAAAGCGAGAAATGTAAATTTGTTTTTCTTTTCAGTGGAGGAAACCTCACCAAACGTATTATCACAAGTTTAAGTGTGGCTATTGTTGTCTTTATTTTAACTGTAATTTTGGCCATGCTGGATTCTTCTGAGTGTAAGTTTTTTATCTAGTTATGTAGTGATTTTAACTAATTTAAATCCTTTTTTTCTTTACTTATAATATTTTCAAATAATTACACATCACAACAAGCATGAAATATTTTTATATACTTTATATTTAACTGTCCAAGTGAGGATATGAAGATTGCATTTAATATCAGTTTTAAACTACACTTTGTTTATGCTGTGGTAGATGAATACTGATGAATCTTGTGTTTCAACAACAGAGCTCTTCAGCCCATTAAGAAGATTATGAAATATTACAAATGTGTATTAATTGTCATAAGACACTGTTGGTGACATATTTTAATTAAAAAGTATATAAAAGCATTTCCCATACACTGTGGTGCTGCTGATGAGGCTTTTCAATCAGTAACAGAGCACATGCTGTCAGGGCGTTTCTAGGATTTTTTGGAGAAGCAGAAGGGGAAAAGAGCTAGTTTGGGGGCAAAAGGGGACCAAACGTTGTTAGATACAAATGAAATGGGCTTTTTTTTGCATTTAAGAAGTGTCCATTTATTCTTTTTAATTATCAAAAAAGCTTAAATATTGTCAGACTCCCTTTACATAGTTTTGTGGTAGTCTGATGCTGTTTCAAACTACCATTAAATCCACCCCCAGGTCTCATCTAATAGGAGATACTTCTTTTGGTCCCCCAAAAAACTTAATACTTTCATATCAATGGGAGTCATAATATAGAGAAAACTTTAAAATCCTGAAGACTAAATCCTAATATCCTCATTTGGGGGGATTACTTCCTCTGCACAACTCTGCTATATTCAACCCTTTGTGCAGTTGGATTACAAATGAAACATTTTTTTATATTGGTCATCTAAATAAAACGTCAAAACTGGCAACCTACAGCAGTTTTCTTGAAATCCTGTTTTACATTTTCCTTCTTGTAACCTTGTTGTGAGACAGTGAATAATAATTTGTTTAACATGTTTTCAGTGTTAGAGTACTCTTGTGAGACAGTTAAGAATAACTTGTTTAACATGCTTTCAGCCTTAGAGTACTGTTTTGAGACAGTTAAGAATAATTTGTTTAACATGCTTTCAGTGTTAGAGTACTGTTTTGAGAAAGTTAAAAATAACTTGTTTAACATGTTTTCAGCCTTAGAGTACTGTTTTGAGACAGTTAAGAATAACTTGTTTAACATGCTTTCAGTGTTAGAGTACTGTTTTGAGACAGTTAAGAATAATTTGTTTAACATGCTTTCAGCCTTAGAGTACTGTTTTGAGACAGTTAAGAATAATTTATTTAACATGCTTTCAGTGTTAGAGTACTGTTTCATATATGTTACCCTGAAAACAAACTTTGCCAGTTTTGGTTTTGTTATGTTCACACAGTAATGAAAACTGCTCTCCTAAAAGTCAAATTGTCTTTTTAAAATGCCAATAACACTTGAGTTTATATAGATGTATTGACATTTATAAATGATTTTAAATTACTACTAAGATATACAGTGATGTATAGTTTTCCAGTAATATACAATGATGTATAGTTCTTTAGTAAGTTATGAGTTTTGGTTAGTCTAACTTTGATGCCACTTAGCTCATCAGGTAACTTGGTAATCGGTTCTTTAGTTTTAAAATATGTTAATGAAATTCATATTATTTTTTGGAACTAATTAAAAGTAACTTCAGGAGCATGTTTACTAATTCATTAACTTTTTTCATCAACTTCAGGGGCAGGAGCATTTTTCTACATCACTATGGTATCTGTGGTTATTTTAAACAGTAAGTAGGAAAAGCAAAAGTTGCTCCTTTATGTTAATTAATTGCCTCTGTGGTTATGTTTTTATCATAAATAGAAAAGAAGAAATATTAAGCAGTAAACAGTTTTGTCTATAATGTAATTGCTTCTGTTGTTATTTTCAACAGTGTGTAGCAAGAAGAAAAGTCATTAAATTGTGGTATATGCTGTAGTGATTTTGACATTATTAACTTTAAATGAATGATTACTAAATCCAAAAAATATATATTCATTCCTTTGCATAGTTTTTATTTTATGCAACAATTTTGGAAGCAACCTAACACTATGACTGTTAGACTCACAAGAATATAAACTGTTTCCTACAACAACAAAGAGTAAGATAACAATAGAGAGGCATAAAAGTATTACACAAATAAAACAAGAAATGGAGTGCTATTGAAACAGATGTATAATGATTATAAATATTTGTGAAATTAGTTTTTACAAAGTTGAGAGAAAAATACAAGTTTTTATAACAATGAAAGCACACTATATATTAGACACTTTTAATAATATAAACAATACAGAAACTGGCTTATCAACAACAAGATTACATCATAATATTCATCCACAGTCTCTTTTCATTCGTGGCTTGATTTTAAAGTCAGTGATATCTTATTATATTTATGATCTAAAATTTGCTTGCTGTAGCTACAATATCTCCCTCTATAAGACAGTCGGCTCTAGACATGTGTCGTGTTTATGTAGGTAGTAATCTACTACCTCATTGTTTTCTTTATTATACTGAGTAATCCACAAATCTGTCGCATACAGCACCAGAGTTTCATGACTGTAGAACCCATTACAAACAGTACATATTATACTAAAAAATACATTATATATAGTGCACCTTCAACCTGTGCACCTGCATCTTTAGGAAACAGTTGTCTTCCTTGGAATTGTTGTCATATGTGTATACAGATCTTGGTAACTCTTGAACATTTTTACTTGTTTTTTTGTAATTCTGTTGAGTAGTCTGGATTGTTATACATTAGTTTGTGTTACCTTTAAGTCTTTCACTTGTGCATAGGATAGTCAAAGTTGATCACAACAAGAAGATATGTTTTGTTTGTAAGTTTTGCCAAGGTTTTTCTTGTGACAAATGTTAACATTTAAGAAATGCAAAGCATCTGTTTTATAGCATTGGTACCTTATTACCTAGTTTGAACTAGAGATTAGTGGGTAGAAAAAAATGGGTATATATACATCTTTTAATCTGTTGTGTATGGTAAAGAGCTTCTTATTAATCTGTGTGTGTATGACACATTTTACAAACTTGAAAGTCTAATTTGTTTTTCAGTGGCTAATGGTGTGTTTCAGAACTGTGCTTATGGCCTTGCTGCTAAACTACCTATGAAGTATTCAAATGCTGTGGTTCTAGGTTCGGTAAGAGTATTTACTTTGGATAGTATAGTGCCGTAAATGTGTTCTTTGTTACTATGCTGATATAAACACATGATCACCAGCATATTTGGGAAGGAAGAGATTCACTGACACAACTGATGAAACCAGAGTTCATTTGCTCTGAATAACAGTGAACATTTTTACAGTAACTTAAATTAATAGAATTGACATGGAAAGATCTCAGTCAGTGACATGAGAAAACAAGTCTTACTCCAGTATAAGCTCCATAACATTCAAATATATAATATATTATTATATACTACAATATATTATTGCTATAGTGTCTTCCACACTGTGAATGCCACTTCTGACCATTATTTCCTACATTATATTTATGTAATACCTGTAGACCCCTAAAAAAAGTGTAATCATGCTTCAGTATCATGTTGTATTTGAGTCAAATAGACTGAGAAGCCAGAAAAATTGATTTAAATCAAGCTTAAGATCTAATATCATATTTGCTGGTGTATAAAACGACCCCACATATATGAAAACCCTGGATTGTGTGAGCAAAGTAAATGTATTTCTTTGAGGTTCAGTGTATAGGATGACTTCTATTGTCAAGAAAGTATAGGATGTTACTATTGTAAAGAAATTCTAAGAAGTTATTTGTAAAATGTGCTAACCTGTACTCTAGGGTAATCAATACAACCACAAGTGTGGTTTTTATGCTCTTCAAATGCTACAGACAGCTCAATGCAGCATAACTTAAGTCCCAAACATGTAATACACAACTTTACAAAGTTTTCATCAAAGTTGAACTCCTTTTCTATTACAAAAAAGTTCTTAACCTTAAGATATAGTGATCTGCTATAAAAATATGTTTACAAAATTAATGTACGTTACAGAAACTAAGCTTTTTTTGATATAATATTAGCAATATTTTAGTATGATGGATGAGATCAATACATTTCAAATAAAAAATGTAATTAATCATAACTAACATGTGAGATAAATAACTTCTATAGTTATAAAGAATCGAGACAAATGATACAATTACAAATATGTTATTGAAATGCAGTAGGTGGTATAATGCCAACACATTTACTGAGAAAAAGCAAACAAAAGTAAAAAGAACAATGCAGTTTTGGTTACGTATGTTATTAACCAGAGAGTTTTTACTGGAACTCTATTTTTGAACCTGTGTATAAGATGAGGGGTAAAATCAGGCATTGTTTTAATAGTAATTATTCCATTTTTTTAAAATTATTATAAATAACAGTTGATTAAATGTGTACATTCTATTAAACATTTTTATCGGAGTAAAATCTAATTATGAGACAGCATTTTTTCAATTTGATCACTATTGTATCATTAAAAAGATCACAAGCTAAAATATCTATCTAGTACTATGAAGAAAAAGAATTTTCAATAGAGTTTACATACAATTCTAAGCTTAAGCTTAAAATTTTTCATAAGAGTTAAAATGCTTCAAATCAGTATTTATATAGTTTTTCTCCTTTTTCAGAATATCAGTGGAACCATTGCATCTTTGATTAATATTTTGTCTATTGCAGGTTAGTTAACCTCATTTCTAAACGGTTATTAGGATGTTATGATATACATTTTATTAGCCTACATTAGAATTGAACCCTGATTTCTGAGGTAGTAGGCAAAGGATATGACTGAATTAAAATTGCTTGTGATATTAGAATAAGTAGATATTACTGGGATTTAATTGGAGTTTTTTTCAAAACCTTGTAGTAGACTGTGCTAATATATTATCACAGTGTATTGTGTTTAATTGCAGTTTCAATCTTGTACTATTAAACACACTCTTGAGAACTTACGTTATAAAATTATTCGATTTTGTTCTGAAATTGAGACTTTTAAACCTAGCTGTTATACTTTGGTAGTGATTAATTAAAAAGAATCTTGTCAACTGTTAATCTTGCTTAATTAATTTACATGATGTTAGTAGTCCAATAGAAAAAAATAAAAAGTTTAAAATTATCTTTTAAAAAATTACACCACTGTAACAGAAAATCTTAAGAAATAACTGCTCAAGGTTTCAACCACTTGGTCTTCCTTGAATCAAGTGGGAAGAAATTATGAATGATTCTAAAGTGTATAATATCAAAATAATAATTAGTTTCAAGCTTAATTAAGTAATGTTATCCACTGTTTTTCTTTGAAAAAAAAAATCTGTATGTATGTGTGTTTGTTATACTGCTAATCTGTTTGATTTATCACCAGCTTCACCTAATCTGAGAACAGCAGCTATTTATTACTTCATCACTGCAATCTTTGTTCTTCTGTTGACTCTAGATGCTTACTTCACTCTCCCCTTGAATGTAAGTTTCTGGTTGGGTGTTATTAGAATAAGCTAAATTAAAACTCTTATTTAGTATTATAATTACAATATTTTTTGAGATAAAAATTGACTATTACATTGGTTTTTACCACTAAATTGTAGGTGTGTGGTGGTATAACTCATTCTTCAACATAGTAATTTATTAATATTTTTTAACAGAAATTGTGTAGGTAAAAACGATGTACTTAAACTTATGCATTTCTACATTTTCTTAACTCACAAGAAATAAGGGTAATATTGAAGTACTAAGAGAGAACTTGTACATTACTAGAATTAATTTCTTAAGTTTGATTGTATGCTTACTATACAAAACATTATATAAGGATGTAAGGCATTGGTTCATGAGTCATTTTAGTACCATTTAGTGTCTTCATACACTAAATCTTACTCACCCTTTTATTTGTATTTCCAGCGTTTTTACAGGTACTTTGACAAGATTTCTATGAAATGTCATGAAGAGAACAAGGGAGAACCCAAAAGACCACCTTATTGGCAAATCTTCAAAAAGGTAAGTAAAAATTTTCCAGATGGTTACAGAAAAATAAAGTTTTCAAGAAGACATGAAAGTATAGTTATAGTTGATATAGTCTCATTAACATCATGGATCCTATTTATCAGAAATTAACCCAAGCAAATTTGTGCTTAAAGATAATTTTAACAATTCATAAAAGTCTAGTTAAAACTAGAATTTACTCTGAGGTAAAAAAAAAAATCACTGATTGTCAAAACATTCAATTGGAAGACCAGAAGTTTAGAAGTAAAAAAAAAATGTTTACTTTATTTTTGTTACTATTTGATGGAAAATTTTTAAATTGTATTTTATATAGTTGTTATGTATGGTACTTTTGGTTGGTGCTTTATGGCCTGAAGTAAGTGTTAGAGGAAACAAAGAGAATAATATTGACTTATGAAGAAAATTTTATTGCCATGTACAAAAAATTATGTGTGTGTGTGTGTATATATATATATAAAAGAAAACTTGAATCCCGTTTTTTAACCAGTTTTCTTTATTTATCAGACACTTTAGTTAATCAGCTTCATAGCATAACAAAACACTTTTTTAAATTAGTAAATTTAAGTTTAAAATTAATATGAAACACATGAATTTTGTTTTTACAATTAAATGTTTATAAATTTTATA